TCAGGATTGGATCTTTAGGAAAAGATTTAGAATTAATAATTCCAGATAAACAAGATAATTATATTAAGAATGTATACAATGTATTAGTATATAGATATTAGAGAGTTAGAATAATTTACAAATATATTAAAAGATATTGAAACTTATTAGATCTTAGGAAAAGAATTGAAAGCATTCTATAACAATGCAATAGCTGCAAGAAGAATAAAGCAGAAAGATATAAGCTTTATGAATTATTGCATTCCTTACTAGTACTTATAACTATTTAGCAATCTATTAATCTAAATTTTATTATTAAGCTATTTTTCTTATAAGAACTCTTAACTAAGATGCAATATAATAGCATTTTAGTAGTAGTTTGCAAACTAAGCAAGTATGCTTATTTTCTCTTTTATAAGAAAAGCAGTATAGTAGAAGAACTTATATATATATTTCTCAGAACAATTATTGCTAATTATAGCATACTAGAAGAAGTAATCTCTAATAGAGATAGAAAGTTTAATTCGAAATTTTAGATTTTACTTATAAAACAGCTCAGAATATATTACAGAATATTCACAGCATTTTACTTACAAATAAATAAATAAATAGAAAGAATAAATCAGATTATTAAATAGTATCTTTAATATTATATTAACTAGAAATAGAATAACTGAATTAATCTATTACTTCTTATATAGTTTGCTTATAATAGCGCAGATATAAGTATAACAAAGAAATTACTATTCTTTATACTCTATAAATACAATCCAATAGCTTATTATAAAGTATTGCTAGAAGCAGATATAGAAGCTGCAGATAAAAGAATTAAGAAGATTAAGAAAGTTCAGAAAGAACTCCAATCAGAATTATAATTCATTCAAAAACGAATAATGCAGTATGCAAACTCCAAAAGAATTAAGAGATTAATCTTACAGAAGAGAGATAAGATTTATCTACTTTAGAAAAATATCAAAATAATTAGATCTAGCAATAAATTCGATTACAAAAAGTTGGGATTATTCAAAATCTTGCAACAGATTTTCCCGATTAATTATAAGTTAGTATTATCTCATGGAATGAGAATATATCCAGTTTTTCATATTTTACTGCTAGAACTAGCAGTATAGAAAATACTAATAGATAATATAGCAGAAGTGGAAAATAATGAATCAGAGTATAAGGTAGAGAAGATTCTCAAGTATAGAAGCATAGACAATATAAGGGAATATCTCATCAAATGAAAAGATTATTTAGTAAGCGAAAATTCTTGAGAACTGCGGAAAAATATTAAAAATGCTCAGGAAAAGGTAGCTGAATATTGGAAAAGGAAAACTAGCATTTAGAATGATTGCTCCGCTTCAGAACAAGAATCAGATACTGCAGTTTCACTCTTTAGAAGGAAAAGCTAATCAGATATGCTAGAATCAAAAGCTAAGAAACTTCAGTTAATAATCTCAAGATGTTTCTAAAATATCAAGCAAGTTTTCTCTTTACGAAAACTGCAATCCTTCTTATTAGCAAATCTCTTCAAGAAATTGAAACTACAATAAATCATTTCTATAGCACGCTTTTCCAACAACCTTTGCTATTTTCATACATAATCAAGACGAGCTTGTAATGCTAGCAAGGCTTATAGAGCAGCAGCATTTGCTAATTCTGTCTTAGCTTCCTTGCTCAAAACCTTGCACTTTTTATGAATCAAATGCTCTGCTAAAGAAGAAAATCAGTAATCATAGAAAATACTAAAGAATAAAGAAACCAACTAGCAGAAGCTGAGAAACGATTAGTATTACAGCTCTGATTCAGAGAAATACACTCTTTACAACAAGAAGAGTTTTCAGCGAAACAATAGAAAGCTTCCATCTCTCAACAATAAGCACAAGCAAGCATTTCGATATCAAAAGCAGAAATAAGCTTAGCAAGACGATAATACTCTTGAGTTTTCATCGAATAACTAGAATGCAATTTGTTGATTCTGTTCAACATCTCGATTAGAAAAGCATAATCATATATGCAAATAACTTGCTAGAATACTTACAGAAGATTATTAGAAATAATAATTGATAGAAGAGAGATAATATTATAACTCATTCAATATACAGATCATCTGCTAGAATATTCGAAATAATTATTCGGAAAGATAGAGAAGAATTCAACATCTTAAGAATTAAAGCTTACATAAGCAAGAATTAGGATTACAGGATCAGGATGAATCAGTAGCTGATCTATGATAATTCGGATCAGTTGAATTACTCAGGTAATTCAAGAGATTCAACAACTAATAATACTAACAGAACTGAAGAAGCTGAATATATAAGAATACATTCATTCCCATTAGATAGATCTCGTATATAGCTTTTTAGTTATCAATCTAAGTATTCAGTTTCATATACTGAGTAGCTTTAAAAGCAGTGAATACTTGCATTGCTTATTAGAACTTGTACAGTTCCGTATTCAAGAACTTAATACTTTGATATCGCTCTTGTTAGCATAAATCTCTTTGTGTACTTAGGAATCTTTGGATTGCTGCAGTGCTCATTACAAGTATTATTGCTAAGCTCTTCTTTCAACGCCTGAATACTCTGTTCTGCAATACTAAAGCAGTCCGAGTTGCTACTTGTAAGGATGCTGAGCATGCATTCTCGTTCTGCTATTGCTATTTGTCTGCAGCGCCTAGGTTTCTAAAGAAACTATTCTGAATCTTTCTTACTTAAGAGATATATTAAGCAGTTATCATTATAGCAGAATATCCAGCTGAGACTTTCATAATTAATAGAGTTTAATACTTACTCTAAGAGAGTATTTTTGCTTAGTTGATTGAATTCTTATTATTGAGCAATATTCATCTAATATTCTTTCTAAACTAATTACTATTTATTCTTTCAGAATTGATAGCAGTTGCATGCAATATATTTTTATTTATTGCAATTATAGCAAGTAATGCTATTCCTTTTACTATATTGCTTATTAGCAGCATTGAATTTCATAGAACTAGTATGCATAATGCTGCTTTAAGCTATACTGCTATATTAACTACTATTCTTATTTTGAAGTTTCTTGCTTATATTAGCTGAAAATCTTCAAATCTAGCTTTCTTTCTTCTTAAACTTCTCTATTTATTATTCATACAAATAGTTATTAATGTAAATTGCTTAATTAGAAAATATTACAAAGTTCTCTAGCTAATTCTGCTTGAAGATCTTATTCTTAATATTATCTTTGAATCTCTTATAATAATGCTTTATAAGATTCTTGTTCTCTTACAGAAGTTGTACTAAGAGTTGCTTAAATCTAATTGTATAAGCAGAAGCTGATTTGGTTTGCTTGAGATTCATAAGCTGCTAAGCTGTAATGCATTCTTCATTGGGATTATTAAAGATCTCTTTGAAAGCTTTCTCAAAGCTTTCAAAGGAATCGAATATATTCTTAATACTCTGGATATGTATATTGGAGTTATTCTGATGCTCTAAGTGATTATGCAGAGAAGATTTGTATTAGATGAAAGTATCTTTTTCGAAATAAGTTTCTGCAAGAATAACTTTCTCAGATTTCTTAGTAAACTGAGTTTCGTAGTACAGGAAATATGCTCTGCAGTGAATAAGGAATCTATATAGTATCTTTTGATTGCTGTTATATATAGCAAGCTTATTCATCTTGTATACTTTTCTAACACCATTGATAGCTATAAAGATGAACTGCGCTTGTTAAGCTTATTAAGCTAGCTGAGCTTGTTAGTTAGCGATGGTAGCGCTCTAAGCCTGCTGTTGCTTGCGCAGATCCTGAATACGCTGGATAAGCTAGTATATCTAGTTAACCAATTCCTCCTAAGTAGGAGCGCGCGAGAACAAAAGGATTTCTGGAGAAGCTATCGTATTCTGTATTGCTCAAGGAGTAATACTGAACCATTCTTAAACAAGAGTTGTCAAAATATAATAAGCACTGCAGCAATCCGAAGATTTCTAAGTATATGAAAGAGTTTATGCTAACGAAAGCAGTGCTAAGTACAAGCTTTGAGTATGGAAATACAACTGGGGTAATCATGCAAATGTTCACTGCCTTTGGAGCTATCAGAGTAGGAGAGTAATCTGATACTTAGATTAACAACTAAAGAGCTATATACGAGATCTATCTAATGGGAATAAATGTGTTCTTATATATTCAGCTCTTCATTATAGCTCACCTAGCTCACTGTAATCCGTGATCTGCATCATAATGATCCGTGATCTGTATTGTAGTGATCCAGTGAGCAGCTCACCTATATTATCGTAATCCAACCCTAACCCTTGCTTATATAATTTCTGGTGGTTGTCCGATGTTGGGTTGTGACACCTGGTTCCTTGTCAGCAGGGCCTGTTTCGTGACCTGCATGTTGAATGAGTTATAATATCACTATGGAATTTGAAAAGATTATTCTTGCAGGAATTCGTTTCGAAAAAGATGCTCTTATCTAGTACAAATCTTCTCTGTACAACTACTTAGAGCATCAGAGCAACTCTGATATACTGTAATGAGCACTGCAGCAATCCGAAGATTCCAAAGTATACAAAGGGAGTTTATGCTAACAAGAGCGGTATTAAAGTGCTAAATCCTTAAATATGGAACTATACAAATCTCAATAAGCAATGCAAGTGTTTACTGCTTTTGAAGCTATCAGAGTAAAAAGTAATCTGATACTTAGATTAACAACTGAAGAGCTATATACTGAATCCATCTAATGATAATGAATATATTCTTATATATTCAGCTCTTTAGTTCTAACTAATCTAACTATATTATAATTTCTTATAGTTATTCCTCCGAATATATTGATTATATTCATAGCTAATATAGTTGCACTAGCAACCCTAATCCGGATTATATAATCCTGATTAGTATTTAATATTGGATTATAATATCTAGTTTCTTAGTTAGTAAAGCTTATTCTGTAATCTGCATATTGAATGAGTTATAACATTATCTCCCTTCTATTAGTTGTTATTCTCAACAATCTTCTGTAAGTATTCTAGCAAGTTCTTCATATGCATGATCTTGCCTTTCTGATTAAGATATTGAACAGAATTAACAAATCCTGTATTTGCAAACCTTCTTCCGTTCCAAAGAATATCCAAGATCGAGATCTCTTGATTTCCTGCTTCTTGGAAAATTTTATTGAGATGCTCATCTATTCCTATTGCAAGGATTATAGTTTCAAGTTTTGCAAGGTATTTCCCGGAGATTCTTCTCATTATATCGAATACATTCAATTGAGCTGCTCCAAGTGTAATGTTATAAGCTCTTTCTCTGAGAAGCTTTGCAATATTGCTATTCAATATTGAAAATTGGAGAATGAGATTGAGAAGAGGGAGATTGAGCTTTTCTGTTTGTGCTAATAGAAGTAAATGTGATTCGAGAAGATGAAATATGCTCTGCGTTGTAGTATTACTTGTATGAAGAAATTGAATTATATGAAGGCTGAGGAAGCTGAAGCTGAGAGGGTGTGTATTGCTGCTGAAGTGCAGGCTGTAGTGGCAGAGGAATCTGCTGTTGTAGCTGAGGATTCTTTTTTTGAAAGTTTCGATTGGAACTTCGTGGACTTGGGAGGTTCTGTAGTAGATTAGTCGGGCTTTCTGAAGAGTGAGGTTCCTGAGGCAGAGCGATTGTTTTAGGTACTGGTTTTCTTTCTTTTTCAATATTCAGCTATCTTTTTCTAAGTATTTTTAATGTTTTTCTGCGGTTTTCAAGAATTTTCGCTTGCTAAGTAATCTTTCCATTTGATAAGATATTCTCTTGTATTGTTTATGCTTTTGTGCTTGAGAATCTTCTCTATCTCATATTCTGATTCATTGTTTTTCACTTCTGCTGTATTATCTGTTAGTATTTTCTGTACTGCTAGTTCTAATAATAAGATGTAGAAAACTGAGTATATTCTCATTTCATGAGATAATGCTAATTCATAATTAATCGAAAAGATTTGTTATAAGATTTTGAATAGTTCTAACTTTTTATAATTGAGTTTATTGCTAAGTTTTGTTATTTTGATATTTTTTCGAAGTAGATAGATTTTATTTCTCTTCTGTAGGATTAGTTTCTCAATTCTTTTGAAGTTTGTATACTGCATTATTCATTCTTGAATGAATTGTAATTCTGATTGAAGTTTCTTCTGAACTTTCTTAATCTTCTTAACTTTTTTATTTGCAGCTTCTGCATCTGCTTCTGATAATGCTTCATAATAAGCTGTTGAATTATATTTATAGAATATAAAGAATAGTGATTTCTTTGTTATGCTTATATCTGCATTATTATAAGCAAATTATGCAAAAGGCAATAGATTAATTTAGTTATTCTGTTTCTGATTAATATAATATTGTAAATATTATTTAATAACTTGATTTATTCTTTTCGTTTGTTTATTTATTTGTAAGTAAAATGCTATAAATATTCTGTAGTATATTCTAAGCTGTTTTATAAGCGAAATTCAAAACTTTGAATTAAACTTTTTATCTTTATTGGAAATTACTTCTTCTAGCATGCTATAATTAGCAATAATCATTCTGAGAAATATATATGCAAGTTCTTCTGCTGTACTGCTTTTCTTGTAAGAGAGAAAGTAAGCATACTTGCTCAGTTTGCAAATTACTACTAAAATGCTATTATATTGCATCTTAGTTAAGAGTTCTTATAAGAAAAGTAGCTTAATAATAAAGTTTAAACTGATGAATTGCTAAATAGTTGTAAGTACTGATAAGGAATGCAGTAGTTTGTAAAGCTTATATCTTTTTGCTTTATTCTTCTTGCAGCTATTACATTGTTATAGAATATTCTTAATTCTTTTTCTAAAGCTTAATAAGTTTCAATATCTTTTAATATATTCATAAGTTGCTTTAATTTCCTGATATTTGTATGCTGGTATACTATATATATTCTTGATATAATTATTTTATTCATTTGGAATTATTAATTCTGAATTCTTTTCCGAAAGTTCTATTCTAAGAGCAGCATTCAGTTCTCTATATGCATTGATGAGATTTCCTGATTTATCTTGAGCGAAGATGTTCTGTATATTCAAGGAATCTGCATTTCGATGATCTGATTTTCTGCTAAAAGCATCTGCTTGTTCATTCTTCGAGCTTTTGCAGTATACAATCTTGAAGTTGAACTGTAAGAGAAATTCTGCTTATCTAACTTATTGCTTATTTAAAATCTTGGTTGTTATGAATATAGTTAGATTCTTATGATTCGAGTGAATTATAATCGGATGCTGTATGCTAATGAGGTAGTATTGCTATTTCTCGAAAGCTTTTACTATTGCTATGAGTTTCTAATCAGGGATTCTGTAGTTGATTTCCGAGCTATTCAATGCTGAAGAGGAACCTTCCTGTAAGCTTTTTGAGTTCATTGTTCACGGGAGACTCCGGTGAACCGTTAGATTGTTCGTTCTAGCTTAATCTTTCTATTGCTTGAGAAGCGTTTTCGGTATTATTTAGGTATTTATACTAATAATCAAGAGAGTATTATCCTTTATTCATTTCTTTAGTTATGGTATCTGATGCAGATAATGAGGAATAGCGAAGAGCATTGTTGCTAAGCTCTTTCTTTAGCGCTTGAATACTCTGTTTTACAATATCAGAGCAGTCTGAGTTGCTACTCATGAGAATGCTGAGTATGCATTCTCATTCTGCTATTGCTATTTGTTTGCAGCGCTAAAGCTTCTGAGAGAATTATTCTAATCTTTTCTTATTTGAAAGATATATTAAGCAGTTATTATTATAGCAGAATGTTCAGCTAAGATTTTTATAATCAATAGAGTTTAATACTTGCTCCAAGAGAATGTTTTTGCTTAGTTAATTGAATTCCTATTATTAAGCAATATTCATCTAGCATTCTTTCTGAATTAATTGCTATTTATTCTTTCGAGATTGATAGCAATTGTATACTATGTATTTCTATTTGTTGCAATTATAGCAAGTAATACTGCTTTTCTTGCTATACTGCTTGTTAGCTGTATTGAATTCTATAGAACTAGCATGCATAATGCTATTCTAAACTATACTGCTTTATTAATTACTGTTCTTATATTGAAATTTCTTGCTTATATTAGCTAGAAATCTTTAAATCTAGCTTTCTTTCTTCTTAAACTTCTCTATTCATTATTTATATAAATAATTATTAATATAAATAGCTTAATTGAAGAATATTACAAAATTCTCTAGCTAATTCTGCTTAGAGATTTTATCTTTAATATTATTCTTGAGTTTCTTATAATAATACTTTATAAGATTTTTGTCTTTCTACAGAAGTTGTACTGAGAGTTGCTTAAATCTAACTGTATAAGCAGAAGCTAACTTAGTCTGCTTGAGATTCATAAGCTGCTAAGCTGTAATACGTTCTTTATTGGAATTACTAAAGGTTTTCTTGAGAGCTTTTTCAAAGCTTTTAAAAGAATCGAATATATTCTTAGTACTTTGGATATATATACTGAGATTATTCTAATACTTTAAGTGATTGTATAGAGAAAGCTTATATTAGATAAGAGCATTCTTTTCGAAATGAGTTTCTATAAGAATAACTTTCTTAGATTCCTTAGTAAACTGAGTCTTATAATGCAGAAAATATACTCTACAGTAAGTAAGGAATTCATGTAGCATTTTTTAGTTGCTATTATATATAGCGAGCTTATTCATCTTGTATGCTTTTCCAGCGCTACTGATAGTTGCAGAGATAGATTGCATCTGCTGAGCTTATTGAGCTAGCTAAGCTTATTAATTAGCGATGATAGCGCTCTGAGCCTGCTATTATTTGCATAGATTCTGAATATGCTGAATGAGCTGATATATCTGATTAATCAGTTCTTTCTGAGTAGGAGCGTACAAGGATAAAGGAGTTTCTGAAGAAGCTATTGTATTCCATATTGCTCAAGAGGGTAATACTGAACTATTCTTGAATAAGAGTTATCAAAATGTAATGAGCACTATAGCAATCCGAAGATTTCAAAGTATATAAAGAGGGTTTATGCTAACAAGAGCGGTATTAAAGTGCTAAGTTCTTAAATACGGAATTATATAAGTCTTAATAAGCAATGCAAGTATTTACTGCTTTTGGAGCTATTAGAGTAGAGAGTAATCTGATACTTAGATTGATAACTGAAGAGCTATATATTGAATTTATCTAATGGTAATGAATGTGTTCTTATATATCCAGCTCTTTAGTTCTGACTAATCTGATTATGTTATGATTCCTTATAGTTATTTCTCCGAATATGTTAACTATGTTCATAGCTAATATAGTTGCGCTAGCAATCCTAATCCGGGTTATGTAATCCTGATTGGTATTCAATGTTGAATCGTGATATCTGATCTCTTGGTTGGTGGGGCTTATCCTGTGACCTGCATGTTGGATGAGTTATAACATATACGTATTCAGAGTACTAAGAATGTATTTAATTCTTTTGAAAGCTTTAAGAAAGCTTTCAAGGAAATCTTTGATAATCTTAACAAAGAATGCATTATAGCTTAGCAGCTTATAAATCTCAAGCAGATTAAGTTAGCTTCTATCTATATAGTTAGATTTAAGTAGCTCTTAGCAAGATTTCTATAGGAAGATAAGAATCTTATAGAGCATTATTATAAGAGACTTAAAAATGATATTAAAAATGAAATCTTCAAGCAGAATTAGCTGGAGAACTTTATAATATTCTCCAATTAAGCTATCTGCATTAATAATCATCTATATGAATAATGAATAAAGAAGTTTAAGAAGAAAGAAAGCTAAACTTGAAGATTTCCAGTTAATACAAGCAAGAAACTCTAATATAAGAACAGCAGATAATAAAGCAGTATAGCTTAGAGCAGTATTATGCATACTAATTCCATAGAATTTAATACTGCTAATAAGCAATATAGCAAGAAGAACAGCATTACTTGCTACAATTATAACAAATAAGAATATATTATATACAACTACTATTAATTCCGAAAGAATAAATAGCAACTAGTTTAGAAAGAATGCTAGATAAATATTACTTAATAATAGAAATCCAATTAACTAAGCAAAAATACTTCCTTGAAGTAAGTATTGAATTCTATCAATTATAGAAGTCTCAGCTAAACATTCTGCTATAACAATAACTGCTTAATATATCTCTCGAGTAAGAAAGATTCAGAATAGTTCTCTTAGAAGCCTTAGTGCTGCAGACAAATAGCAATAGCAGAGCGAGAATGCATGCTCAGCATTCTTACAAGTAGCAACTCGAACTGCTCTAATATTATAGAATAGAGCATTTAAGCGTTAGAAGAAGAACTTAGCAATGATATTCTTTAACATTCTTTATTGCTTATGCTAAATACTATAATTAGAAATATGAATAAGGGATGATACTCTCTTAGTTACTAATACAAATACAAGAATGCTTTTCAGGTAGCAAAGGGATTAGATCAGAATAAGCAGTTCAACAGTTCATTAGAATTTCTTATAAATAATAAATCTAAGAAGCTTATAAGAAGGTTTTCTTTCAGCATTGAATAGAACAAGGAAATAATATAGATTGAATATTTCATTTATAGGATAAAGCTAGAGAAGCTCTTTATCTGTATTCCCTTGCAAAACATTAAAGTATAAGAAG